AAATAAACCTTAATTTGACCCAAAAGACTCAAAGAAAACAGATTTTGACTCAAATAACAAGACTAAATCAAAGGGGGATTGTTTTTGACGAATTTAAAACTTAAAACAAAAACTTTGTAGAAAATACTTTGGAAAAACGAATTTAAGTGAAATAAATGGGTGAAAGGCTAGTTAAAGGGTCCTTCTCCACACATGATATATGCATATAAACCAATTTCCAGTTATTTTTCCTTTAGACTATGAATGACAACTCCCCAAGTTAGTTGCATCGCACAACTAACCATCAGATTTTCCTTATTTCATTGAATTAGATAGAATACGCATCTAAACCAAATTATCTTTCTCAAGTTCCCTATATGAAATGCATGATAGAGATACATGTCAAAAGTCATTAAGTTCTATGAAAATCATAAGCATTGATAAGGCATTCATTACTATGAAACGCATGAGACTCATACCAAGGATTTACTTAACACGATTGTGACTAGCAACCTCCACTACTTGTGAATATAAGTGAATAACTCTTACGTGAAACCCCCTTATACTCTAGCATCAAATTCATGCATGCAAATTAAGTGTCGACCCCCAACCCACATACATAAACAAGTTTTAATAACTTAGATAAGCAAATCACATTCATGCCTTAAGAAACAATAACTGGACGTAATCAGTTCATATAAAACATATAATCATGGCTTCGAATTCACCTCTAACTAAAAAGAAGTTAGTTCCACATGTTCGCAAAACAAAAATCACTAAACTTAAACATTAAAAACAAAGATAGAATACACCTAGAAACACTCCAGGTGGCTCCTCCTTCCTTCCTTGCTGCCAACAATGGGGATTTGTGTGAATTTAGGCTCTTGAGGTGTGGTGGATGGTGTGGTGTGAATTTGTGGTAGAGGGTGGTGGTTTTTGAGTGTTGTGGCATCAAGTATTTATAGGGTGAAGGGGAGGCACAAATTTGGGTTGAAAAGGAGAGGAATTAGGACTCCAAATCACCAAAGAATAAGGATACTTTCAATTAGATTCCAAGGAGGACAATGAATGGTCCTTGTGGCAGATTCTAGAACTTCTAGAAGGGTTACATGTGGCATAAACTTAATGCACGAAAATAGGGCTTCTAGAACTTGATATTTAGGTGATTTAATGTGAAAAGGAGTCCTCTTTGAAGTTGGAATTAAGGTAGGAAAAGATTAGGATAGGATGAGATAAGATAAGGTTGGATAAGGTTTGGATAAGATAAGGAAATTTGGATAAGATTCCTTATTTCTTGCTCTTTCCTTATCTTCTTTGCATTTGGACTTCTTTCTCCAGATTTTTAGCCTTTCCTAGCATCTTTTGACTTCAATTTCATCCATCCACATTGCTCCATGGTTAAGCTATCCAATCCATGCCCAAAACTGCTCCAAATAGCCTCAAAATGCACTTTCTTGCTCCTTTTGCCATTAGGACCTAAAAACATACGAAAATAGCTTAAAAGACTAAAATAGATAGTAATTAAGTAACTAAATGCAAGGAAACAACATAACTAAGTAGCATAAATATGCTCCTATCAGCAGTGCAAGCTGCTTTGGTGTGGAATGACACACAAAAAGAGACCATGGACGATGGTGGGCACGAGACTCCTTTAGCTGTTCAAGGTTGGAATCATGGAAGAAAATTGGAAAGAGGATCTGAGAGAAACAGCAGGTTCATATCCGGTTCTGGAGGCAAGGGTCCACAGTGCTACGATTGCAAGACTGGGTTGTAGCAGGTTTGTGGCGGAAGACTTTGAGTTCTAGGTACTTGAAGCAACACTTTTCCTTGTGATGTATAGATTCCAGTGTTGCAAGGGTTTTGCTGCAGGTGGAGCTATAAGATTCACAGGTGATCAGATGGCCCTGAGGAAAAAGGAAGTGTGGGGAATTTTGTCTGGCTCGACAAGTTGTTGCTCAAAACAGACACTCTGACAATCTTCCAGGTTGTAGACAATGAAGAGGGGGAAATCTTGCTGGAGGAGACAAGGATGTGTCGAGATCCTATCTGAAACTAAATGGTGATTTTTTAGCTTGCAGCAGTTGCACATGTTGGCGGTGACTGAATCGGTATAAGACCAACGAAGTTGATTCAGGGTGTGCATGCTGGTAAGTAAGCCAATGAAGGCTTTGGTGATGGATGCAAGGATTTTTGCATGGTATATTTGCCAAGGCGGAGATTGTTGTGTTTGGCTCATATACTTATGAGTTGGCAATAATTTTTCATGTGTATAACTTCGTGAATGCTACAAGAAAATGGCAACATCCATCTGTGAATTTGTGTTTTGCTTTCGGTTGTGGCATGGAAGTCTTCGTTCAAGAGAAGACATGGTGACTATCTCAAGCAAAGTTGGAAGAAAGCAAGTCTTACTTGCATGCAATTGTGTATGTTTTCTTTTCTATGCATTAAATGGCAAATGGAGAAAGGGTTGCACTCTATAAGCTAGGTACAGCAAAGGGGTGTTAAATATGACATGTGAACTTAAGATTTTCTTGGTCTTGGTTGCTGGCATAATTGCTGGTGTATGCCTTGTATAAGCATCCGTTGGTGAAGGCAATATTCATGCATTGTATAAGCATCCGTTGGAGAACACAAAGAAGAGAAAACAGAGAGTGAGAGTGAGAGTGAGCAACTCTTGGCGTAGAGTGAGCTCTTAGGAAAATTCTATGAGTGGGTGTACAAGGGATTCGGGTGTGGGTTATGTCAATTTAACTTAAGTGTGTCTTGTTCTTGTTATTCTCATAGTAATGAGCAATATCTCTCTAGGGACGTAGGCACGATTTTGCTGAACCTCGTAAATCTCTCGGTGTCTTTATTTCTTTTAATTTATTCTATTCAACTATGGGTTCGTATTTTGGTGAGGTTGTAATCAAAATCTCGCACTGACTAGCCAAAGCACAATAGTCAACTCATCGACACTGATTATGGGAACACGTTAGTCTCAAACAAAGGAACTTGCATATGGAACTAAGTCTCACAAAAACCCAATGGCTATGGTAAAACCCGAGGCAGGACAAAAACCCGTAGTCTAAGGAAAAGTGTGTGAGAAAGTGCAAGGTCAAATGAAACATCTACGAGATGTGCATTAGGGATTGACCAACCCAGGATGGATGCCTCGTCAAAACCTCGTTAGGTAGCAAAAATCCAAAGGGAAAAATGCTCCTAATCGTAGGAAAAAAGAGTAAATTAAGATCAAGCAAGTATACTTTGGATACTCCTCCTAAGTTTGACATAATTCCAAAAAGGACTAACATTGTTTCAACTCAAAAAGTTCACGTATACCTATTCCTTGAACAAGTTCTGAAACGTCATCTTCGACAGTGATTTGTTGAAGAGGTTGGCCAAGTTGTCTTGGGACGAATTTGTGTGACTTCAGTCTCATGATGCTCTTGTTGTTAATGTGAGAAGAAAAACTTCGACGCAATGTACTTAGTGTTTTCTCCTTTGATGCAACCTTTCTTGAGTTGTTCAATGCATGTTGCGTTATCTTCATAAATCGTTGTAGGGACATCGACGATGGGCTAAAGATCGCAAGTGCTTCGAATATGGCCCACAACTGCTCTTAACCAGTAGCATTCCTGAGTAGCTTTATGTAAGGTGAGTATTTCAGCATAGTTTGACAAAATGGCAACTAAGGTAGAGACAAGGTTCTAAAAGATGTTAGGTGCTAGTTAGGCGGCGGGCTGGGGCCTAGCGCCTAGGCGGTTAGGCGGGGACTAGACGGATTTAAGTAAATCTATTATATTTCGTGTAAATAAGTGTATGTTTATACTTAAAATATATATAATTTCATCATAAACTACAAAATAGAATGACATATATATTATGGAGTATTAAAACATAATGAAAACATGGGGAACAAGCATATAATGTGTGTTCATTTAACTATTCAGCAAGTCTCTTACAATTTATTGCAAAAAATAAAATACAAAATGAAATTATCTATTTTTTGTCTAAGTGAGTCGCAACCTAAGCGGGTGCCTAGGCAGGTCTGGACGGACTAGACAGGTGCCTAAGCGGTCTAGGCGGGTGCCTTTGTAGGTGTAGGCGCCCTTTCTTAATTTCAAACGCCTAGGCATTCATCAGGGCGGTGGCCAACGCATGTCGGTCCCATCTTTATTAGAGAGATGGTAATGATGGTACAACTAGATGATAAATAACATTTTTGTAAAACTATTAAATAAAAAAAATTAAATGAAAATTGGGAGATCCCTGAGTATGAGGGTTAGAATACTTTTGTGGTTGGCGGTGGTGTGTGTGTGTGTGTGTGTGGGGGGGGGGGGGGGGGTGGGTGGGGAGGATGACAGCCATCTCTCTTCCCCTTTCTAAACTATCACTCTCATAGCACGTTTGGCTGGCCGGATGAGATTGGACTTGGATTTTGGGATAGGAGATGTCACGAGGGCAAACCACAATTTACTCTTGAAATAATTGCTTATGAACCTTATCTCAAATGGAGATTGAGATCACCTTCGGATCTCACACATAGTTGCCGACGGAAATCTTGCAACCCCCCATTAGCCTCATCCCACTTGCCCACTTCACACATAAAATCACACCCTCATCTCTCTTTCTCTTGAATGGTCTAGATTGTTGGGTTGGTCGGGCTCATCTCCATCTCTCTTTCTCTTGAAAGTGTGAGATCTAGAGATGATCTCAATCTTTTAAGTGACATGGCCCGATGATTGGGCAAGGTTTAGGGTTCAGGAAAGGGATGGAGTTTCCTCTTTCCTTTTATTTTCAATTTTATATGGAGGTTAATTTCAATGAAAAAAAAGATTCATGTTTAAGTCTTAAATTCAAATAGAACCACATTTTGCCCCAAGTACTGGAGAGCATTCACTGCCACCATGCTGTCCCTGTCCAATAATGTTTTATCGCATGGAGAAAATCTTACACATGACAATGCATTATTTGACCAAAATGCTACGTGGCGGTAACTCTATTCCATGTAAGTCCTTATCCGAGTACTAACCACTCTATGAGGAAATATAACAGCATGAATTAAAACTCTTGGACCCCAATAGTTCCACAAAATTTAAAGCTTTTTAAGCAATGCAGACCCAGAAGTGACATTGCTTAATATAGAAAGCCTACCACATAAAAAGGAATCCAAAAGCAAAACTCTAACTATAGCTAAAGTTCCTTAAGTACAAAAACTAAACACTTAGAGAAGCACAATGCAGAAGCATGACTTTTCACCAGTACCAAAACACAACCCCCACATACAAAAACATTTTGCTTCTTAAATGATCTGCAGTTCCAAATTCTTTCCTCCGACATAAGGTTCATTCAAAGGAAATGGGGGGTGATCAATCCAGCAACCTCAAGAAATCCAACACGGTCCTTCCCGGCAAAGATCTGCTTCAGCTTCTCATCACAGACTATGATCCTCTTGTTTTGGGGGTCCTAGAAGAATGATATCAAAGGACAAAGTCAGCAAAACTTAAAGGCAGTTAACACAAAACGTAGACATTCTAAGCAGCATACGGGGAGATAATAAGATAGTTTAACATTAATAAAACAGAATACAATCCTAATCAAAGTTCACAATAGGAATCAAAACCACAAGCAAGTACACTCACTTTATCGGACCCCTAAACGAACTTGGAAAACATCTATTATTTGAATCCTACGTACTATATATACATCTATATATATATATATATATACACACACACACACACGTAGCCCCCAATAGAATCTTTAGATAGTCACAAGAAAGGAATTAAACTGTATAACCAGTACATGAAACACCAGATTCAGAATGGAAATGGGGAAAAATTATATAATTGACCTCTTTTACGTATATAAACTGAACCCGCGCAACACCACCATCCTACTAGTACTACGGAAGAAAACTTTAAGTATACGAAATACTGTATGGAAAGAAAAAGTAAAGGTAGTATATAATTCCAGTCACCCAAAAGTTCAAACAACTTCCACAAGTGCTGCTAACTAACACAACTATCAGTCTAGAAACACTGAACTCCAACAAACATAAAAGCATCCAGAAAACAACATAGAGACAGATTTAAGAATAAAATAATAAACTTCCTCACATATCAAATTAGAACAGCCTTATCCAGTCCTATCTAAACAGGATAACAAGCATAGCAAACCCCAGAAACCCTGAGTACCAACCTAAGCTATAACAGCACTCCTCATTTTCCATTCAAACATTGCCTAAATCCTACATCTAAAACCCCACAAAATAGCGACAGGATAAACCCGCCTAAACACACGGCAGAAATGAGCTCTCGAATCCAGAAATAAAAAAAACCCAATTCTCATACACATCAAGATAGTCCATTCCAAGTTCAAACAAGCACAAGACATCCAAGAATTTGAGCTTAAACCGGTTGAAAAACTTATTGTAAGCAAACCAACTTTTAAAAATCCACATTTTATCTATGCCGCCGTAACCTTGTCCGAACAAAAATCCACTCACATTCACAACATCAAGTAATTTCAGCACAAAAACAAGAAAACCTACATTTCATTCATTGCATACCAACATAACCTTATCCACACTTGTCTTCTCTAAAAAATAATAATTATACCAATTAAACCCCAAATGGACAAAAGGGTTTTAAAAAATTCAACCACAAAGTGAAAAAATGCAAACTTTAAAATTAAAAAAAAAAACAAAAAACAAAAACAAAAACAAAAAACAAAAATTCAAAGTAAACCTGAAGATTGTTCTGCTTAATGTGGGCCCAAATCTGCTTCAGAGCTTGGGTGCGAGAAATCTCAGGGGCACCCACAAGGGCTTGCATCTCGAGCGAGACTTTGCGAGGCTTCATGATGCCGCGGGGCTCGCGGGGGGTGGTGGTGGCCGGCTTCGAGGCAGTGGCAAGGGTTGGGATGCGCACCATGCGCAGGTTAGCGGGGGCGAACCTGAGGGAGGAGGACGAGGAGGAGAAAGGAAGGCTGACGAACGACGACGTCTCGCCGGAGAAGAAGGTGGAGGAGATGAGGCCTGTGGTCACCGCCATGTCGTTTGGTCCGCTTAAGGGATAGCGTTTTGAGAGTTGGGAGTCTTGTAGGGTGGAGGAGAGTAAGTATTCTGAGCCCGCCGTATTCCCTTTTATCTTGGCTCGTCTTTATTTGACCCTCAATTTGAATAAATTTTCTTTTTTAATTGAGAGGTGTTAGGTTATCCTCACTTTTATCTTGGCTCATCTTCACCTTGTAAGTGAAAAGTGTTAGGTTCGATTTAAATATAAATTTGAACTATATTATTGTTAGCTCATTGTGAGGATAAGACCACCCCTTCCCTTAGTATAAATAATATCGTTTGTTCAAAAGAAAAAAAAAATTGTAATTACAATCTTATCCGATTTCACATGCTTACTTTTACTTCTCACACATGTTTCTCAATTTTTTGTTTGTCAGGTCCAATTAGTTTAAAAATATTAATGGCAAAATATTAAGGCTTTTTATATTAGCACCCTACAAAATGTTGAATGCAACCCACATTAAAATTTAATATTAATTGACTTATTTACCCTAATATGTAATGGCAATTTTGACCTTATTAGGTTTAAAAAAAAAAAATTCTAAATACATCCCAAATCACTTTTAACGTATTATTTATCTTCTTCCACTATCAAACTTCTCTGACCCTTCATTGTCGAACAAAACCCTAACCAATAAAACTACAAACATGTTGATTGAGAAAAATTATTTTTGACGAATGAAACATGAAATTGATGTTTTAGAAGCTTCACATGAGGTAGGACTTCATATTTTTTATTGTTTTAGTGATTTTGACAACATCAATAATTATTTAATCTTGCTTTTGCTGCGTTATTCAAGTTTCTATATTCATATTCATCTTATAGGGATCACAAGGATTACACGAAGAATTAAACACCTAAAATTATCACCGAATATTAAAAACAAACGACATGGGTTTTAATGGTGGAATTGAAAACAACCTACATATGCTTTAAATCCCAAGTGGCATCTTTTGTCAAAATTCCAGTCGGCATTTTTTGTCCAAATTAAAAGCTTTATAAGATTTGAGGAATGTGAGGTGTATAGAAAATATGGGATGCATGTAGAAAATGTAAGGTGTATATTGAGAATGTGGGATGTCAGGGTATTATGGAGAAGTATATGGGGTGTATTAAGATAATTTTTAATTGAAAAAGCAAATGTGGGGTGTTTTAAGTATATATGACTTATTCAACAAATTGTGAGATGTTAATATAATAAGCCAATATTAATAAAGTTGTGTGGGAGGTAAAGACTGGTGTGCGTATAGCACTATCCTTTTAATTTTGAAATAAAAAGTGATGTCTGTAGGCCTTTTTTTTTTTTTTTTTTTACTTTTTTTTTAGTACATTAATATTTTTACATTAAGAGGAGGGGGAGTTCGGCTGAGCCACACAATGGGTAGCCTAAGTTGGTATCGAATTCGCCATCCACAAGATTCAAACCTAAGACCCCTAATTTCCAAGTGAAGAGGAATACCACCAGACTGTAGTACTAAGTGGCTTTTTTCTGGTTTTAGGACATTTGAATTAAATTGAAAGAAATAGGAACAAACAAGTGTGTGCAAAAATGAGACAATGTGTTCGCTCCTTGGGCAACAAGCTTGATTCTCTCTATCCATCTCAAATGAGTGCATTTTTACTTACTATCCTAAAGTTACAATAACATCACCACCGCAATAAATGCAGTTAAATGAGTGTGATTAATCTCTTCTAACAGTGAGTATCACAATGGGTGATGCTCACTATTATCAGTTTTGGCCCATTGTTGCTATTATGATTAATGAGATATAAAATGTGTTCTAGGGAGCACCAAGCACCTATTTAATTAATTAAACAGGTAGGGCTTTTTATACAATTCGGCTTCCAAGATTGGGTTGCTCTAATACCAAGTTAACTATTAAAGAGTATCAAAGATGATTTAGTTGCCCACTACATATTGATATAGTCTTCAACTTAATCACATGTACAATCCAATAAGTGTAGAGTTTTATATAAAAGGCCTAAGCATTCAACATAAGGGATAATTTCATGAGGCTTCAAATGTAGGGAAATTGCTGTTAAATATAAAGGTTTCAGTAGTGCCAGTTGTTAAATGTATAGCTTGTCATGTGTCATGTACCATTGATTCTTGTAGTAAGCCTTGAGTTAGTTATGGCTGTGTATTTATAAGACAAGTCAATGCCTTGTAATCATTATGCAATTGTAATGAAAAGATTGTTTAACAAGATTTTCTCTCTTCACTCTCTCTACATTTTTGAAAGTGTTACATTTCTTTGCTTTCTTTGTTATCATGATATCTTCCCTGATCGAGGCTCACGCCGTTGACGACCATACTGCTTCCACTTGTCTGGTTCTTGTTAGAGTTGATTGGAGTTTTGCATCAGCTAATTTGCTGAGGTTTGTTTGGCGTAATTTGCTCAGGTGTTACTTGTCGATGTTATTGTCGAAGTTTGTTTGAAACCCTAGCGATTGGGGTTTTTCATTTCGTCACTACGGTCGATCTTTTTTCTTGCTTCAAAGAGGTTATATTTTTTTCTTTTGTTCTTGCACAGATCTATTGATTCTTGGTTGGTTAGGTCTTGTCGGCATATAAACCCTAGAAATTGAGGATTGTTGTCTAATTTGTTGATTGCTATTGTGAATTGTGATTCTTTGTTGTGTAATTTATCTGTGTTGTGAGTTGCTTAACTGTTAAGTAATTGATATGTGTTTGCATATTCACAATGGTTACCCCTGCCTAACTCTTACACAATCACCTATTTCTTCATTGATTCCAAGTGTGGGAAACACAGTCACTGTGAAATTAGATGATTCGAACCATGTGACTTGGAATTTCAAATGGAATTGTTATTAGATGGTAATGAAATTTGTGGATTCATTGATAGATATATTCCTTGCCTTGAAAAATTTGTTGATTTTGATTCTGAGGGAAAGGTTGATGACAATACACAAGTTATTTCTAATGCTTATAAGGTGTGAAAAATACATGATAAAGCCTTGATGACCCTTCTTATTGCTACATTGTCCACTATTGCATTATCTTGTGTAATTGGTTGTTAGAGTTCTCAAGAAACGTGGACTAATCTTTGAGAACGATTTGCTAATATGACTAGAACTAGTATAGTGATAGGAGCATATTTATGCGACTTTGTTAGTTTAATTCCTTGCATTTAATGAGTTAGTTTCTATTTATTATAGTGATTTAAGCTATTTTCTTGTGTTTGTAGGTTCAATTGGCTAAAGTGGCAGGAAAAGGCAATTTGGAGCATTTTAGAGCAGTTTTGGGCTTGGAATGGATAGCACATGAATGGAGCAAGGTGGATGGACGAAATTGAAGTTAAGAAAGGCTAAAAATATGCTAAAGAGATGGAAGAATTAATTCAAGAAAAAGAAGATATGGAGCTCAGCAAAGAAAGAATGAAACATGACCCAAACTACCTTATTTTGTCTTAGCCAATCCTAATCCTACACTACCTAAGTTCCAACTGTTAGGGGGGTCCCTAATTATATTAGGACACTTAAAGATATGTTTCTAGAAGGCTTAATCCTATTCCTAAAGGGATGCCACACCTTGTCCTTCTAGAAGACATTTCCTTGCCGTGTAAGCCTTTAACCTTTCTCTCTAGGATCTGTCGCACCACTTTTTCCCTTTTCCTCTTGGATTCTGACATTTATTTACCCTTTTTCCTTGAAGATTTGGTGTAAAAATCTGTCTCCAAAATTAATTAGGGTTGTGACTCTCTTGCCATATAAATTCAAGCATCTGCCGCATAATGGGGGATTCCTGACCACAATTACAACCATTCATCCATCATTCAACATAATTCACACCAACCATCCATCACACACAATAACCCAATTTCATACACAAACACCCTTGTGCCACAGCCTTGCAAGGAGAAAGGAGATGAGACCCTTGAAGTCATGCCCTGCCATTCAAGTTTAGATTGTTGGAGCGTTTCTAAGTGTATTTAATCTTTTGTTTTCAATGTTTAATTTAAGTTATTTTTCTTTAAGCGCGAACATGAGGAGCTAAACTCGTTTTGGCTAGAGGAGAATTCAAAGCCATAAACATATATGTGATATGAATTGATTTCATCCAATTATTGTTTCGTAAAACATGAATGTGATTTGCTTAACTGCTTGATTGATAACTTATTCTTGTATGTTGATTGAGGGTGCACACTTAGTTTGCATGCATGAATTTGATGCTAAAATATAAAGGATTTTCACATAATTATTATGAACTTATATTTGCAAGTAATGGAGGTCGCTAGTCACGATCATGTTAAGTAAATTCCTGGCAAGAGTATCATGTTTTTCATAGTTACGAATGACATGTCAATGCTTATGATTTCCATAGAACTTAATGATCTTTGATATGTATCTCTATCATGTTGTTCATATAGGGAACTTGATAAGAATAATTTGATTGCGTCGCTGAGTCCAATTCAATGAAATTAGGAAAATCTGATGGTTAATTTGTGCAGTTCACGATTAACTTGGGGCATTGTCATTCATGGTTTATTGGAATAACAATTGGAAATCGATTTGTATGCATATGTGTCATGTGTGGAGAATGACCCTCCAGTTAGCCATTCACCCATTAAAACACCTAATCTCGTCCCAAGTTGTTTAGAGTCTTTAAATCTATTTACTTTTACTTTAAATTCGTCAAAACCAATTCCCCTTTTAATATTTCGTGTTTACTTAGTTAGAACCTGTTTGAATTTGTTTCTTTTAGTGTTTTGAGTCAAAGTTAAGTTAGAATTCATCCAAAATCACCCTTAGTTTCTGTTTTGAGTCAATTTGCTTGTTTTGTACTGTTTTGAGTCATTCTAGTTTGTTTTGAGTCATTAGAGTCTAGTTTTCTGTTTTTGAGTCTAGTTTAGTGTTTTCAAAGTTTAAAATTGAGAGATTAGCATCTATTCTAATCCCCGGCCTATAACGATCGCTACTTATTCATACTACAACTATATAAAAAGGGTTTAAGTTTGTGTGCTATTTTATATCACATCATATAGTTCAAATGAAAATTGCTTTGCAAAATA